TGCATTCCTATTGAACTATTTGATTTTTGATCACGACTTAGATAATAAGTTACTTTTTGTAGTGTAGGAATACTCACAATAAGTTTAGAACGCGGCAAAAATCAACATGTCGACAATAGGTATTAGGAATAATATTTATGACATGTGCAATCATGTGTGATAAATCATGTAAATCAATGCATGTTTTTCATATGAATTCTGATTAGGAATATGATCGAATCGTGTTGAACATATGTTTAATATATTTTCGAAAAGAATATTGAATAAAAGTGGATTATCGATTGTTCTGAATACATGGATTTACTAGATTACGAATTAAGAATTGAATCAAATAGTAATAGGGGAATTCACGATTCCAATACAAATTAGATAAACACTTTATTCGCTTTATTACTTTAGAATTAGTATAAATAATATACGAACCATTTCCTTTTGATTTCATCCCATTTCAAATTTAATAGTAACTATTGAATTACAAATTAAACCTTATTTCTCGTGGGAATGATACTCTTAACTCACATATTTTATTACCTGTACAATGATCCTTTACGCTTGCGGATTTCATGCGAACAATTAATTTATGTGGAAGGCTAAGTTCTTCTTATAGATAGCATTGTTCCATCTTAAGAAAAATAACTCAAGTCCTTGTGTGTTGTCTAAAACTATATTTAAATTAATCATTTAACATGTATCGCAAGGTAATTGCTCGTTATGGATATCCCTTGAAATTAGAATCCTTGTTTAAGTTTTAGAGGGATCAAATTGCTCTTAATTTTAGGAGTGGGAGCGATCTGATTCTAAATAGTACCAAATCGAACCAAATACCAATATGAATTTTAAAAATGAAACCATTGATTCCATATCCATCTATAGAACCAAACCTGAATTGAATCAACCTGTTTCGATTCGGTCCGATCTGGTTCTTCATATTGCAAAAATTATAAAAATAAAATATGAAATTACTTGTGAGAATGAAAATATATAAAAACAGAGAACGAAATCACTTGTTATTCTTGTATTTTAACAATATAAAAAATAAATTAAACAAGACAACAAACAAAAATTTATTTCGAAACTCAAGATCAACTCATAAAGGAAAAAAAAGGAATAAACTATGGAACACATCATAAATGGTAAAATCTCTATTGAAAATTAATTTAACCTCATTATACTTAGTAATAATAATAACATGATTATCTCTATTAATCATCAAGGATCTTAATTCTTAATGGCTGATCACTTTGAGAACAACGAGAAATTTAAATTCTTATGAAATATTGAACTAAAAATATATTTTTTTTCTATTGAAATGTATTAAAATTATGAATTTGTAAAGTATTTATAAAATTATTTAAATTTTAATTTTGATTACCCATTAAAGGTAAGAAAAAGAAGCGTATAAAAATGAAATTTTAATGTGAGGTAATTTTGGGTTATAATGTTCAAAGATGTAGTGCATTTCGGTGCAACAAAAAGAGAAATTCGAAAGAATCGAACTCACTTTTGGTTTTTAAGGTAATAGGGAGAATCGAACCAGAACCGATCGATTCTCGATGTACGGTTCCAAAATTGACCCATTCGTTAGATGAACCGGACCAAACCGACTGGTTTTATCTAGTTTTGAACCTACCGATTTTATCTAGTTCTGGTCCGATTTAGGGAAAAAACTGCCCACTTCTATTTAATTTCAATGAACTCTGATACCATAATTTGGAATTTCAATATTGTATGAATAGTCCAAACTATTATTACGTTAGTTATATTTTTTATTTGATGTGAAAGTTTACCATTAAAACATAAACAATCAAAAAGTCAAAATTCTTTAGTGGATGCATTATCAATTTGTTGAAAAATATATGGGCGTGGGAACTGATTAAGCATTAAAATAAAAGAATTGTCCATTGTGAGTTTTTTCCTATGATATAATTGTTATTTTTTAAAGTTTTTATAGCATTCATAATTTTGTCTTATCAATTGATTTTCTTGATTTGACATTGGATTAATAATGGTTTTAATTATGGACATGAAATAGCTTAACAATTATTTATTTTCAATTATTATTAAGAAAAAAAGACGTGTTCCACCTACTTAAAATATTGAAAAACATACACATTCAAATCAACTATTATTTTACAAAATAATAAATTTGTTTAACATAAGAACAAGCAAAACGGTGGACAATTTAAATTCGACTTGTTCGTTGTTTTCCTTTCAAACAAAAAATGATGCAAATATTTGTTAAGAAAAGTCTCTAGCAAAGTTTAATCTATATGAACACGTTCAGTGCAACTCATAGTAATAACATTTATATTTCTAGGTGCATTTTTTTGTAACAATCATGCTAGAATGTCAAGGAATTTTACCAAGCATTTTGCAAGGTTCACACTGACAAACAGTGATTGGCAATTGGACAAAAAGCAATTTAAACACTATCAATCACAGTCTGTTATCTCACCCTTGGCAATATATCCTGTTCGAGGGGTTTTATCCTTTCTGTAAACATACAAATAGCATCGAGGCATCTTTTTTATTTCGAACGAGAAGCAAGCAAACAAATAAATAAGCGGTTCGATTTGGATTCAAAGTAAAACCCAAAAGAGATGGTGTCAAAGGTGCCATAATCCGTGTGAATAAATGTTTGTCGAAGAAATAGGTAGGAAAGGACGATGGGGGTGGGCATGGCGTCGCATGTCACGC